AGGGAGAAGAAAAGAAAAAAAACCAATATAGCTTAGTGGGTAAGTAAAAATTTGAAGCCGAACAATAATTTCATTTTTACAGCTTTGCCATAATCTAACCGTAAGGTTCTAGGCAATCCCCTCACAACCGTGTGAGGTTTCCTCTCTATTATCGGAGGACAGAACTGCAAGTTTCTCAAGGTCTCAACTAAGACAGACACAAAGGGATGTATAAAGATTATTTTCAAACCCACATTAAAAATATTACTGACAAATGTGTACCACCCCCAAAGAGGGACCATGGCATTCATGATTCTCTGAAAATCTTAGATGTCAACGTGCTTCAAGATGGATTAAACAAACAGCTAAGAAACTGATGAGATAGCAAAAGTCTGGGGAAGAGGGAGTCAAACAGAGTAGCAAAATGATGAATAATTTTATTCCAAAGATAAAACCATTAATTTATTATTGGTGATGTTCTTAAAAGAAAGCAGAGCTGTTAAGTGCTACTTGTCAGTGGCCCATTTCATGTACCCTTTTTCTTTTTTTTTTAGTTCCTTTTGGACTGACCTAGATTAGCCCTTCACTTCTCAGGACTGGTCTCCTATGAGAGCTTCCTGATGGACAGCTCCGCTTCCAGACTCTGCCTACCCCCTCGCCACTCCCTCATGCATCTCAGGAGCACAGGTAAGGTACTAAAGGACCATCTGTATAAAAGCACCCAAGGATCAAAAAGATGCAATAATTCTCCCTTAAATTGGATTTCCTTTGTTTAAACTCAGGGTCATTTCTAATTTTGGTACAGCTTTCTTTTGTCCTTTTTACTTTGCAGAATTCTTCTACCTTATTTAACTCACTGTCATGGAGTGGATTCTGACTCACATCTGCCCTCCATCAGCTTTTCAAGCCTCTAAAACTTTATAGATGTCCCACCTTTCTCCCAAATAGCAGCTAGTGGATATGAAGCAATGACCTTTTAGGTTAGCAGGCTGACACATGACCACCAGAGTTCCTCTCTTCCTTCAAATTCAAACTCATTTCCATCAAGTCTGAACTGATTAATGGAGGACCCTCCAGCAGATTTTCAGAAGCTGTAAATCATACAGGAGGAGAGCATGGTAGAATGTGCAATTCATTCTCTAGAAGAGCAACTGATGGATTGAAACCACACATCTTTGGGATGACTGCAAAATTCTCTATCCACTAGGCTCCCTGTGTCACAATTAACCTGGCCTGTCTGCTGTTCCCTAGAACATTCCATCTCTACTGATCTCCTTTTTCCCCCAAGTGAAGGGCCCAGCTCAGATGCTATTTCTTCGATTTCAATGTGACTTGAATCCACAAATATCTATAAACTGTTTTCTATGTGGAAAAAATGTACTAGAAGCTATAGAAGATGAAGAGGGAGCCTAAATGGAGTTAATAAAAGAGCAGGAGAACACAGATCTATTCACAAATGACAGTAACACAAAAGGGTTACAGTGTTAGCCTAACACATTTTTAAAATGTCTAGTTTTAAAAAGCTTTGCCACCTAACAAGTAGTGAAATGATCTTTCACTGTGATTTTGATTTGCATTTCTGATTGTTAATGGCATTAAGCATCTCTTCCTGTCTTTGGTGGCCATCTGAATGTCTCTTTGGTAAAATGTTCAAACCCTTTGCACATTTTACGACTGGGTCTTTTGTTGTCATCAAAGTTTTGTATATATACTTTGTTTATGTGATTGTCTATTAGGTTCTTGGTGGATATACTATTCTGAAAGATATTTTCCCTTCTATGCTTCCTTTTTTACTAATCTTTTACAAATAAGTTTTTCATTTTTATGTGGTACAATTATATTGTCTTTTGCTATTTGTGCTTTTGTTATTAGATAATCCATTACTTATTGAAAGCTAGCCTGACAGTTTTGCTCCTGTCAGTTTGGTTTAAGAATTTTATGGTTTTGGTTTGTATAGTTAGGTGCTTGACACATTTTTAATTTGTTTTTGTATGTGGGTGAAGCATGAATACAATTTGATTTCTCTACATAGGGAAATACAATGTTTCCAGCATCACTTACTGAAGAGATTCTTCTTTTCCCATTGAATAGATTTAGCACCTTTGTAAAAAAATAAAATGATCACTGCTGTATACATTTATTTCTGGACTCCCAATTCTATACTACTGGTCTATGTGTCTATTGTTATACCAGCACCAGGCTGTTCTGATTACTATTGTTGTTGAGTGCTGTTAAACATGTGTCAGAGCAACGCTATGAACAAGTTGTTAGTAACATCAGTAAATGTGTGGCCCTCCTTTGTTTTTCTCTTTCAGTATGCCTTGTTTTGGGGGACTTTGTGGCCGTTCTATTTCTTTAGAAAAGGCTGTTGGAATTTTATGCTTAAATCTATAGTTCTGTTTTGGTAGCACTGACATCTTTAATGATATTAAATCTTCCAATCCATGAACTTGGGACATTTTCCCACTAGGTCTTTAGTCTCTTTCAGCAGTGTTTATAGTTTTCACTGCATAAGTCCTTCATGCTACTGGTCAGATTTATCCTTAGGTACTTTGTTCTCTTAGATGCTATTGTAAATAAAAGTATTCCCCTAATTTACCTTTAATATTTTTCAACGCTGGTGTGGAAACTCAAATGACTTTTTGTTTGTACCCTGAAACTTTGTTAAATTTCTATTACCTCTGAAAGTTTTCTTATGGGACATAAAGTATTTTTTTTTCTTTATTGACCACACAGCACCTCAGAGTCAGAAAAATTCTAATACTTTTTTTTTTTAAAAAAAAGGTCTGGTGGTATAATGGTAAGAAGATGCGCCACAATCCCCAAATCACGCAGTTCAACGCCACTATCAGCTCTGTAGGAGGAGGATGGGCAATCTCCTCCCGCGTGGTTAACTGCCTCTGTCAGCTATAGATCAGTTCCGACTTGATGGTACACAACAAGAAGATCAATATATATTTAAGGAGCTCTGGAGGCCTAGTGCTAAGAAGCTGCTCTGCAATCCCAAAAGCATGCAGTTCAAATCCAACAGCTGCTCTGCGGAAGAAAGACTGACAACTTCCTCCCAACTAATTTACTGTCTCTCAAAACGTGCTGGAGGGTCAGATATGAGTTGGTTCTGACAAGTCAGCATACAACAACAACACAATATATTTACCACATACTTTCCAAGGGAAGAATTTTTTGTGTGTGTGTGTGTGTGTGTGTGATTGTACCGTCAAATCAGATCTGACTGGTACAGGAGGAGATTGTCCCTCCTTTTCCCAGCAGAGCATCTGGTGGATTCAAACCGTGTGCCTCTGGGATTGTAGTTGCAGCTCCTTGCCACTAGGCCACCAGAGCTCCCCTAGGAAGAATCATTCTAACCACTTTTTTTCTCCTGTATTCCCATAGAAAAGAGAGAAATTCAACATCAATCATTAGAATTTCTAAAAAAAAAATTTCTATCCAAATGTAGGCCATATTTATAAACATCTGTGCCCAGGGGCACATGATCATAACGTAATTTCCTCTCTGGTTAAAAATTAAATTTTTTAAAAAATAATAATTCCAAAACTGGACCTACAATCCTAAACTCCTCCCCCCAGACCTTGGTGCCACTATTAATCATAAACTCAAATGAAAATGTTACCACCACTCAGGTATGTTTTAGCAACTATCATCAACATAGGAAATAAAAAGATATCATTACTTATTTTCAAGTCAAAAGGTGACTTACACTAAGTATTCATGAAAAACTCAAATGAAATCATGAAAACTAGTCAGTGAACAAAACAAAAAAGTTTTAAATCTAAAGTAAAAGATGTGTAGAGGAAACAAATAATGGGGCTACAACCAGATGATTTACTGACCCAGCGTGCACGGTTTCCCTCCCGCCTTAGCATGTATTTATGCATCTAGCTCAAAAGACCTTACACTACAAAAGTGTTCACGACTCCAAAATGAAAGCGTTCTGTACCACAAAAACCCCAAACGAACGAAAACTTCATTTTCAAAAGTAATTTAGAATACTGGGGGGGGGGGGAGCTAATTTTCCCACCAAATACGCATCCAGTGCGTGTTGGCTAAAACACTTTTTAAAATAAAAGTTTCTTAAATGGCATCCACTTCCTAAACAACAAGTCTCCGGAAACTATGAACTCTGATAAATGTCGATAGTTGTAGAGGGGCTTCAGGCCTTTTTGTTCATAGGGTCGCTATGAGTTGTGCTCGACTTGAAGGCAATCAATAACAACAACAAATGATAATGGACTTCTTGCAAGTGGAAAGGGGGAAAAAGTTCATTTCTGTTACAGGTCTGCGTAGAAGAAGTACAGGGAGTTAGTTGAAAAACGACAGAAGGTAGACTCGTCTAAGTGTTAAGCAAAAGTCTGGAAGCTTTGTTCTAGTAACTGCGTAACTGTCATCAACAGTAATTGTCTTTCTCTGTGCCTTTTAAAACGATCTTGGCAAGTCTCAGAGTTCTGTTTACAAGAGTTCTATCGCAAAACAATACTAATTCAAAGGTCTTCAGATTTTCATGCTACTTCCTCGTGTGCTAAATAAAAGGGGGCGAGAGCAAAACAAAACAATTACACATCTTAGAAACAGCTCTTCCCAGCTTTGTGATCAGACTGTACAGAGCCTTCCTTACAACTAACCAGCCCTGAGTAAGCGATGGGAAAGCGAAGTCTCTGGTCACTTCACATCTAGTCGTGGATCTTCATTCATACCCAACCTCCGGACAGGACCAGCGGGCGGAGTGGCCCTTCACCTTCTCCCATTCACCCGGGCGCGCGCTCACACCTCGCTCCGCCTCCGGCGGGCAGTGCCCCAGAGCTTGGAACTCAAGACCAGGGTGCCCAGACTCCACCTGCATCCTAGGCCTAGGTCCCTGGAGAACGACCCTACTGTAGCCCAGTTCCAAAAGAAAAGGAGCTGATGAAAACTGCCATAACCGCCAAACACCTCTCGCCAATGCGAGCGCCGCTCCAGCGTCTACCGGAGGGCCCAGCGCGCTCCGATTCGCTTTTTACACCCACCTGCCTCCCGCGGCGGTCCCCGTGCTGGCTCCAGTGGCCGCGCCGCCGCCTGCCCCAGTCCCCGGCCGCAGCGCCATCTTGCTCCGGGCCTGCCGTCGCAACCTCACCAGCAGCTGTCAGCTGAAGATAGCCACTTCCGGGGCAAACACCAGGCCCCACCTCGCGGCGGACCGGGTGATGGGGCGGAGCCTTGCGCTCACGTGACCCCGTGGCCTCCGGGAGGAAGAGCGGGATGTTCCGGTCACGTGACTGGTCGCCGCAGGGGTTCCTCCGGGTGCAATTCTACCTGTCAGGGTGGCGGTCCTGTCTCAGGCTGAGCTCCAAATGGAGCTGATTCATTCTTCGAAAAAGCCCTCTGGTAGCCCAGCTGGCGGCGGAGCGGCAAGACGCTGTCATAGTTTGAAAAGCAGCTCATCTTGGTTGGTGGAAAGTAGATTGAATACTGGTTTTTAACTGAATGGGAAGCATACAAATATATGTTATTCTTCACAAGTAAAGAATAAATGGGACCTGGTTGGCCCTTGGATAGCTTCACAGCACAAATCCATTCTTTACAGTTCAGAATGGCTTCTGAAATGTGCTCACAGCCACCACAGCATTAAGCCTCCTGGCTTTAGGCCAGTGCTACAAAGTTCTCAGTCCTGCCAATATTGGCTTCCCCTCTCGCCGGAGTTGTCTAACAAACTTGGGCAAAGGCTGTTAGCTTAGTTTAGGTTCTATGCCTGACTGTATTCTGCTACTAATCTGGATTATAACCTTTACGTTTCCCCAATATGGTTCTCTGTGGTCTCTGTGCTATCACATCAGATTTTAGACACCAGTAAAGCAGTAAAATGGACGTTGAGATGAGTAGAAGTACAGGAACATGCGAACATGTCTGACCTCATGAGAATTAGTTTTGTGTTACTGATACTGTTAAGTGGGGCAGTTTCCCTTTGTGAAATTGATAAAGGTCAGGTACAGCCATCCCCACATGGTCCTTGCTCTTTTTACAACTGCCAAGAGAACAGATCTGCCCTGGAGATAGTGAAACAAGATTGCTCCTTGAGGGCAAGGACTTTGAAGCTCCATCTCCTAATTTGGTTGCCAGGAAGGACTTGTCCTTGGAGGACATCATGATTGGAAGGGTAGAGTTAGCACATGAGGATGACACAGGATGAGATGGACTGACAAACTGATTGGGGCAGCATCACTGCCAAGTGTGTTGGAAGTTGGCTCAGGATAGAACAAGGTTCAGAGTACTTGTTCATATGGTTGCTAAGTCAACTCAATGGCACTTACCAACCACATTCCTCTACATGAGTCTAAGGACTTGCCCTCTGAATAACATGTCCAAAGCATCCTTGCCCGAGTGCACTCTGGCTGCACTTCCTCCAGGGCAGACTAAAAGATATTCAACTCTTTTCCACACAACTAAAAGTTATCGATTCTAGGTTGGTCTTCCTTATTTGCTATCCAACTTTTAGATGCATGTGAAAATACCATGGCTTCAATCAGGCACACCTTAGTTGTTGGATTTGTTACTGCCCTCAAGTTGAAATGACCCATAGCTGGTCCTCCAGTGGGTTTGCAGAGGCTGTAAATTGCAAGGGAGGAAATGCCTTTCTCCCACAGAGCAGGTGGTAGATTTGAACCCTTTGTCTTTGGGTTGGCACCACTCCTTGCCACTAGGCTACCAGAGCTCCTTTAGATGTTGGTAATTGGTAGTATTTAAACCAACCATGCTCACATAATCCCAACGAACATATAATCCTCAAAGTGCACAGTATTGTTTGGTCTTGCCATCCTGCCACCCAATACTACTTCAGTTTGTTTCCCCCAAGCCTGCAGGTAGGAGAAGAATAGTGTTTTCCTTTTCATTTTTGGGCTCATTAAGGAAGCTCTGTTGGTCTAGTCTGTAGGGATTTGAGCTGATAACCCCAAGGCCTTGTCTCTGTAACAGTTCAAATCCAACGGCTCCAGAAGAGAACATGTGCACTCACCTGTATTTATAGAATGGTCAGCTATGAGGAGGTTCCAACAAGCAGGACAGCAGGAGTTTCTAGTCTTATTTTTATGGATTTTTTTTTCACCTGATCAAACTATAAGTATTAAAGTACTTACAGAAGAAGATCAGACTATAGCCTTCAAAATGGGTTCCATCTCAACATCAACAAAAATTCTCACAACTGGGCCAATAGGTAACATCATGATAGATGGAGAAAAGATTGAAGTTATGTTTAACAATTTAATTCTACTTGGATCCACAAGAGCCATGATAGCAGAAACTAAGACATGCTGCATTGGAAAAATCTGTAGTTAAGGACCTCTTTAAAGTGCTAAAAGGCAATGATGTTAAAGATTAAGGGGTCTGATATATGCCATGGTATCTTCAATTGCTTCATGTACACTTAGGATAAATATTTTTAAAAATACAAAGCTATCAAATGGTTAAAACCCCCCCAAAAATAATCAGTGCTTTTGAATTGTGATGATGGAGAGTAGCATCAAATATCCCAGACAAAAGAATAAATCTATCTTGGAGAAAAGTCTAACTAGAATGCTTCTTAGAAGCAAGGTTGGTGAAACTCTGTCTTATTCACTTTGGACATATTTTCAGGAGAAACCAGTCTTTACAGAGACATCATGCTGAGAAATGTAGAGGACTGACAAGACAGATTGACTCAGTTATTACCACAACGGATTTGAGCATTAAAGACTGTGTAGATGGTGCAGGATAGGTTCGCTGTGAGTAGAGTTGACAATACCAAACCAGTGTATAAATAGTATTCCAAAGCTGAGTCAACTTCTCAAGCCTTCGAGTATGCTTAATAATATTTTACTGATTATAGTCTGCTTTAGCTTCTTCCTCAGGGGTTTTACTGGAAAAGAATCTGTGATAATTTAATTGGATGCTATTGAACAGACTATGACTCATAGCAACCCTATGAACAATGGATCTGAATCCTGTCCTGTGTCATGCTTGCTGGTGTAGTCACTGTCAATCCATCTGGTTGAGGGTCTTCCTCCTTTTTACTGACTTTTCAAGCCTGAGACCCTTTGCCAAGCACTGGCCCCTTCTAACACCATACCCAAAATGTGTGAGACAAAACTTCACCTTCCTTCCCTCCAAGGAGCACCCTGGCTGCAGCTTCTCCAGGACACATTTGTTCTTTTGGCAGTCCATGGGATATTCTGTACTTTTCTCCAACACAACTCAAGGGCATCAATTTTTCTGTCATCCTTATTTATCATCCAATTTTCAGATGTGTAGCAAGTAAATGAAGACTATGGCTTGAACCAGGTGCACTTTTTAGTCTTTAAACTGACATAGTGATGCTCCTTAACACCTTAAGAAAAGTCTTTTCACAGATTTTCCCAGTGCAATACATCATTTGATTTGGCTGCTGGTTCCAAGGGTGTTGTGGATCCAAGCAAGATGCAACTGCTTACAATTCCAATCTTTCTTCCATGATGTTGCCTAGTGGCCCAATGGTGAGGATTTTCGTACTCTTGGTGTTGAGACATACTATATATTGAAGGCTGCAGTGATAATATATACTCTTTATTGGGCACAAATTGCTGCTCAAGAACTTCATCTACATTTTAAAAAGCTTCACTGCACAACTTTATGAATCTAGAGAAAATTATGCTGAACATGAGTTAGTCACAAAGGGGCAATTATGGTATAAGACTTTTATTATTAAAAAAGGAAAGGTTTACACGGAATCATTCTTAGATGTTACCAGGAAGAGAAAGGAGAGCAAAAACTAATAGATCAGTTAGATGAAGAGAAAAGCAATATATAATATGGAATTGATTAAACGTTGCACACACATTAAGCAATTCTAAGTAATGTTATGTAATGCATTTGAATGATTAAATGTAAAATCGATGATCTGTAAATTTTCAAATAAAAAACTTTTCAATCTAAAAAAGAAAAAATCTTCAGTGCTATTTAGTACGAATATTTCACAGATCAGTGAAAAAAAAACCCAAAACAAACAAATCAAGGTTCAATTCACTACTATCATAAACTCCAGGCAGGCAGCAGAAGCAGGATTCAAGTTTGACTCTAAAAATGTTGCACATTTCATGGGAGCCAGTGAGCAAAAGTACTGTCAGAACTGTTTTCACTCATGTCACTTCTTTTTTATTAGGCAAGACAAATTTATCTAGGAAATAGTTTCAATTACTTTAAAGCAGCTAAATTTAATATTTATTGACAAACCAAGTCGGTGTGGGTTTCTGTAGACATTTATGATGGTGCTTATGTAGGGAAAAATAAAGTCAAATGAAGGAAGTGTACACAGGGTCCTATTAGATGTAGTTTCTTCCCAAAATGCTTGGATGCACTTTAACTTGGCTCTAGAAGACTCAGCTCACCCCTCTAAGAGACCTTTCAGGACATGCCAATCTGTCTTCTCCTGCCCTCTGACATTCCAGCATTCTCAGCCTTACTTCTAACATAGTTCCTTTATTTAGCTCCACCACTTTATAAGGCAAGCACCCTGTTATCAACATTTACATTCATAACAAACCCAGAAATGTTTGTTAAAAAGATATGCATCAGGCACAGAACTAGGTACTTCTAACCTTGAGACATAAATATTATCCTTGCTTCATCAGATTAAAAATTGAAGCTCTGCCGCCAGAGACAGAGTTCCACCGCCAGACTGGCCGGGAAGAGACCCAGGAAGAGCAATAGTCAGCCATTCACCACGGAACTCCAGAGGAGCGAAGACTACCCGCCACTGTGCGACCCCCCCTGCAGCCCGCACCTGTGTGACCCTGACCAGCAGCGCCCAAGCCCTGCCCCCACCTCTTAGTGGTAGTGTCCAAGCCCTGCGCTCCTTACCCCCCTAGTCCCTTGCTTCCACGCACCTCAGCCCCCACCACAGCCCTGTGACCTCAGGGCACCACCACAGATCCAGCCATCACCTGGAGCTATCAACCAAGCTGTTGTGGAACTAACCTGGCAGAAGAAAGGCCTGTAAGATCTTATCTGTGTTTACTGGGGCTGATTATCTGGGAGAGCACCTAAGGGCGTGCCTACAGGTGGGGAAATTGGCCGAGCTTTCTTGGGTTCCCACCCAAAAACAAGCCAGCCAGCTGGCTTCTGTGAACTCTGCAGACCAGCCAGAGGCTAGTGGGTTGGTGGGAAGTTGA